GCCCCGGGCTCCTGGGGACGCTGGCAGGGACAGGCTGGGGGTGACGCCCCAGAGCAGGGTGCAGGGGCTCCGCACAGTGATTTCTCTGTGATGGCAGCCAACCCGAAGCGCCTCCCTCGCCTCCTGCAGAGCCGCGGTTCTTGGGGTCTCCAGAGAGCAGGGCCCGGTTTCTCTCCCCTTAAGTACGTCCCAGCTGAGGAGACCACGGAGCAGAAAGACTCGAGATCAGAAGCGATCCACACATGATCGTTAGTCTTTTGGCCCCCCAAATCCTTAGTTTGATGTAGGAATCGCCTGCGGCTGTGGCTCAGGGTGCCCCCAGTTCCAGTCGCTTTCCTGCCAGTGAGGGATGGGGTTTCTGCAGGGCAGGAGGTGGCCGCGGGGCTCCCGGTTCCTGCGGGACCCGGTGCTGCCCCTGTGGTTGGCCGAGTCAGACTTACAGGAAAAATCCCAAATTGATTTTTGTAACAAAACAAAAATTGCACGTTGCACCGGTGGGAGATGGGAAGCAGTGTCTACTGAAGGAAGGAGGAATACGTTTCTGTGCTGTTGTGTAACGCGTCACCAATATACCCAGCTGTACCCAGGCTACCCAACCCTCCAGCTCTTACTAAGGACAGAGCTCTCCCCTCAGCCCCAGGGCAGTGGCTTCGGCCTGGCCTGAAATAAAAACCCAAGGAGGGTAAATCTGTGGCAGAAGAGTGCCAAGGGTGGGACTCATCCATGCCAGCTACCAACAGCCCTACTTATGCACATTTAAAAAAATTATATAATTTTTAAAAATTCTATCCCCTGCCCATAGCTTCTGGGGAACCTCTGGCCATCCTTTCGAGTGGGTATTTTATCATGGGTTGTCCCTGGGATGGTGGGAAGTGCAAGGATGGGGTGTCAAGATAGGATTGGTGCAACTGGGGTTACTATACAGGGTGACCGGGCTTATTTCTGCTGCAGTGCCATTTACTGATGAGGTGAAAGGTTTTAAACATCGCTGGGCTGTGCAGGAGTTAAAGTTGTATTGAGACTGAAGGATTTCTAAGAATAAGCTCAGAGCTGTGCCGCCAGGGCTGGAGAGGGTTAAGAGAATGGTGAGATCTAATCAGAACTGCTCCCTCATCAGTCTCAGATGAGTGGCCACATATAAAACCTGACGGGGAAATATCTATCCATTTACCAGTAATTACTTATTTCCACGCTCGCTCTCGATCACAGTTTTCTCACGTAAACATGGGGCTGAAAAGTTCTTTGTGCTTGAGGGTGAAGCCAGAGACAGGAGCTCCCAAAAGCTCCTGGTCCTCCCGCTTCCCATTGGGGGCTCCTGCGTTTCAGGGTGGCTGGAGTTCCCAAGTGCAATGCTGTCCCCTGCCCTGGGAGTCCGAGGGAATACAGGGTGTCCCACCAAGCAGGTGCTTTGGTGCAGCTTCTTCAAAGCCCCAGCAGCTTCCTGGTGGCACTGATCACAGTCTGGCTCCCAGGGCCAGGAGTTTCAAGGCTTTTTTTTTTTTAAGGCTTTTTTTTTTTTTTTTTTTTTTAGTTCTATTTGGAAATTACTTGGGTTAAATGTTTCAGATCTCAACCCCAAGCTCCTTTTCAGGACTATCCCAAAGTGAAGGTGTCATCTGCTTGGTAGAGATGATATTGGATTTTTCTGGCTCTAACAGGGAGCGGGAGGCTGAGGATTGTCCCTGATGGGTGGCTCCCAGCCTGGGACGTGCTTCCGTCACCAAGAGTATAGGTGCAGGGGAGACATGAGACCAGTGCCACATCCATCTCCTTTGGCTCCTCAGCTGAGGTCCCTGTCACCTGCCGGCAGGGAAAGAGGCTCCAGGGGCCACCCAGTACCTCATGTGTCCCCTCCATGTGGGAGCAGCTGGAGATGGGGCTGCCCTTGGGAAGCCGTTGGGACCCCGATGGGCACACAGACCCCAGCTGCCACCCCCTGTGCCCAGTGCTCATTTGCACAGGGAGATCGCCCAAGGCAGCTGGAGCAAGCAGGACTGCGGCAGGAGGAAATTGGTGCAGATGTGCCAGCTGTGGAGGGGAGCCAGGCACTCAGGGGCAACATAGCACAGATGGGCAGAGCAGGCAGTTTCTCTTCCCCACGGCAGCAGGGTGAGAAACCCACCTTTAACTGTGTGGAAAAGCAGGTTGGGGCATATTTGATGCATCAGTAATCTCTGAGTGCAGCCTTCCTGCTGTCCCAAGGACTGCAGGAGGATCCTGCTCAAGTTCCTGCAAGCCCCAGGGTTTGTCCCATGAGCCAGCAGCTTCCCCGGATGATGGGTCTGCATCAAGGGAGAGCAGCAGGATGGCCCTGCATGTGGCTGGGATTGATCCACCACCCCCAGTCTTCTGCACACCCTGGACATGGTGATACCTGGTTAGCTGCAGGCTGGGAAAGTCTGCCCACGAATCTGCAGTGAATCCGCTGTTCCTTATCACTGCAAAGCAAAGCAATGGGTCCTGAGGGCTGGCCAAAATGCCCAGCAGTGCCCCCAGAAATGCTGGTTCCTGAAGTGGTTGCAGGGTTAGGGGTATCTTTTCCCTACTGAATCTTGAAGATCGTCTCAAATGGCAATTTTTTGTCCTGATCTGCCATTTTGAAATGAAATGGTGATGCCTGTTTTGTGTTGTCTCCCATGGTCTTCCTGGCTCTAGTTTCTCAGTGTTGTGTAACCTGTGATGCCAGTCTAGGGTCATGGGCAGCACATCTGTGTTTTGGAGGTAACATTTCCATGGAAAAGTTAATTCCCTGCTGCTCTTGTCCTAAACTGCAGTTTTCAGATGGCTGAAACAAGGGTTTCCCTTGGGACTTTTCTCCAAACCAGCTGCTTTGCTGAAGCTCTCATCCTGACTTCATTTCTCTTTCTTGACCCATTTTCTTCATGAATTTTTCCCAGCTCTTTACACAGATATGGGGGTACCAGATGACACTGTGGCCACCTGCCACATGCCCTGTGCCTGTCCCTGTGGTTAAGTGTGGCCCCAGATCCGCCTCACAAGTGGGATGCAGGTGGGAAGAGTGTGCATGGAGGTGTCCCACAGCTCTTCCCACAAGGCTGCTGCCCGCCCAAAGGTGGTGGGGCACAGATTATGAGCATCCCATGATCTCCAGGAGGTGCTGTTGCAGACAAGTCTCTCACAGTCTGCAGTTTCCTCTCCTTAACGCTCCTGTCTCATCCCTTTAGGAAGAAGACCATCTACAAAACGGTTTGCCTCTCCTTCTTGCTGGTGATCACGGTGACAGTGCTGCAACGGGGAATGGCCCCCAGCCAGTTCATGCAGGGCCAGCAGCAGAAAGAGCTGCCCCCTCCAGAGCCCCTGAAAACACAGAAGAGAGACAATTCCTTCTCCATCACCAGCACTTTCTGGAAAAGCAAGAAGGAGAAAGCTCCTGTGAAGGAGGAGGAGAGCGTGACAGCAAAGCAAGCCAAATCCTGGGATGTCACCACTACCAACTGCTCAGCCAACCAGAACTTCAGCAAGGTGGACTGGTTCAAAGGGCTGGAGCCCAACTTTCAGCAGTTCCTGCTTTATCGGCACTGCCGCTACTTCCCCATGCTGATCAACCACCCCGAGAAATGCAGCGGGGATGTCTACCTGCTCATCGTGGTCAAGTCTATCATCACGCAGCATGACCGCCGCGAGGCCATCCGGAGGACCTGGGGCCAGGAGAAGGAGGTGGAGGGCAAGAGGATCAGGACGCTATTCTTGTTGGGCACAGCCTCTAAGGAAGAGGAGAGAGCCAACTACCAGAAACTGCTGGATTACGAGAACCACATCTATGGAGACATCCTGCAGTGGGATTTCCTGGACAGTTTCTTCAACCTCACTCTCAAAGAGGTCCATTTCCTGAAGTGGCTGAACATCTACTGTGACAACGTCCACTTCATCTTCAAAGGTGATGACGATGTGTTTGTGAGTCCCAGCAACATCCTGGAGTTCCTGGAGGACAAGAAGGAGGGAGAGGATCTCTTTGTGGGGGATGTCCTCTACAAAGCCAAGCCAATCCGGAAGAAGGAGAACAAGTACTACATCCCCAGTGCCCTCTACAACAAAAGCAACTACCCACCCTATGCAGGGGGTGGGGGCTTCATCATGGATGGACCCCTGGCCAAGAGGCTGCATAAGACCTCGGAGACGCTGGAGCTGTACCCTATTGACGACGTCTTCCTAGGGATGTGCTTGGAGGTCCTTAAAGTATCACCTGTTGGGCACGAGGGCTTCAAAACTTTTGGCATTGTGAAGAACAAGAACAGCAAGATGAACAAGGAGCCATGTTTTTTCCGGAGTATGTTGGTAGTTCATAAACTGCTGCCTCCAGAGTTGCTCCAAATGTGGGACTTGGTCCATAGTAACTTGACATGCTCGAGAAAACTCAACGTCCTTTAGCTCAGTCTCTCTGGAGAGCTGGGACTGGAGGGGCCAGGACAACCCATCCCTGCTCCGGGGTGGGGTGAGCCTCTGCTGGTGGCACACAAATCCTTCAGGGGCAACTCCCTCCGGGGCAAGGAGGGCAGAGACACTGCGCTCGCGGGCAGGGTTTGCGATAGTGTTTGTTCCTGTACTGTAATGTGGTTTGCTTATCTCCAGCTGGGTTGGGGGTTGCTGAAAAAAAGAGAAAAAAAAAAAACAAACACAACAAATCTAGCACAGAATGAGAGAGAGAGGGTAGAGGCATTTGTGTACTAGAGGCTTTAGGTACCACATCCACCGGAGCCTGATGAACGGTGGGGTGGGGGGAAGCAGGGAGGGATGTGGCACAGGCATTTTTTTTTTTTTGGAGATGTTCAGGGTCTGGCTATCCAGGGAAGCTGCTCCAAGGGAGTTGAGCAGTTTACAAGAGCATGAACATCCCATGACTCAAAAGTCAAGGGGATTTTGTTATCTCAAATTTCTACTCCATGCAAGGTTTTAGTGACATTGACCCTGTGTGCATTGGGTTCACCCCTGCTAAAGTCCTCTCTGTGTCCCCACTACGTGGCTGGGGAAAGGGCTCTCCTCTGAGACCAGGCCTCATCAGCCCTGAGCCCCTGTTAAGAGTTTCAGCCAGGCAGTTGGGGGATTGGGGTCTTTGTCCTTGACAGAGTGTCCCAGATGATGGTGGCTCCCAGCACCAGCCCAGGCTGTGCTTGGCTCCCCAGCCCCTCTGTGGCCTTGCTGTGCATGCACTCAGAGGAATGTACCCAAAATTCCTCAGGAATTTATTCCTCCTGTCAGGAAAGGGAAGGGGTGAGGCAGGCTGCCCTTGCCCACAGCCAGGGAAGTGGCAGAGAAACTTGGTTGGCCCCAGCTAGAGTGGCTCAGGGGCTTATCACCTCAACTTGGGTGCAGGCACCCCAGGGGTCTCTCCTTGCAGCAGGGCTGCCCTGGTGGGGTAACTTCGGAGGGGGACAACAGCCCCCAATGATCCCGGCCATGGCTAATTTGGGCTCAGCCCTGGTTTTGCAGCGAGCACAATGCTCCAGGACAGGCTGGCAAGCATCAGTCCCGCTGTGGAACAGGGTCCAGGGTGAAGGAGGGCTGGTGTTTCACACCACATCTGCTCCTCTCAGGGTTGTTGTGTTTATTCTACAGGATGAGGCCCAGAAGCATGACAGGGAGTGGTATCATGAGACATAGCCCTTTTTCTTTGGGCTGAAATGGTCACTGGAGTTGTCGAGGGGAGCCCTGAGCCCGCTGCTGTGGTAGAACCCCCCCCCCGACACAGAGACACACAATCACACAGGGGCCACAGATGCTACCCAGCCACCGACTGCAGACATGAGCGAAGCCACAGGCATGTGCAAAGCCACATGTGTGCACAGGCACCAGTGTGCCAGCTCCCAGGAACAGGCTCTATGCATGCAGATGTCCTCATGCACAGGGCTTGGAGGCCAAGATGTCCCTGCGGGCGGGTGGACACGCACAGCCACATCCATGGCCCTGACCATCCACAGCGAAACATGGCATGTGCACTCAACTCTCTCTCCCTCTCTGGTGCCAGACATTGAAAGCAAAAAATTTTGACTACCTCAAAGGTCCCCCTGTGCAGTGCCTTTTTTTTTTTTCTTTCCTTTTCTTAATGTGTTTTGGAAATGGGCCCGTTTCATTTTCTCCAAGTCTGTATGTTCCCCAGGTTAGAAAACAAACAAAAAAAGGGCATAAACCAGCCAAAAAAGGCACCCTCATGCCAAGCCACACCACTTCTCGGCAAATGTCCCTCGTCTGCTTAGACGAGATGCAAATTTGAAGAGGAGGAAGAGAAAGAGCCCCTTACTGCCCAGGGTTCGGCAGTTGGTACTGGGGCTGGCAGCAATACTGTGAAATTTGATTTATGATGCACCCAGTGGCACTGTGTCCCTGGGGCAAGTGCTGGCAGCACAGGGCAGAGCCCTGAGGGCACTTTCAGTGCCCGCTGGGCTTAGACAGCACACAACACTCCTTCGTTTTCCCGTCCCCTCCCTCCCTCCAATGGGAGCGAGTTCAGAAATACTTTTCAAATTGACACCTCCATAATTTATGTCAGGTACAGTACATTAGGCTGTATATTTATCCTATATGCAGGGACAGCTCTTGCTCTCCATAGCAATGTGTACGGCGAGCCAGAGCTGTGTGCAGAAATCTCTCAGTGTTGCTCTTCACCTGGTGGGACCTGTTACAGAAAAACCTTGTAGATTTGGTGAATATTCTAGTTTCTAAATAAAGGTTAAAAGGAGAAGGGGAAGAAAAATAAAACACCAAAAGCCCTCACCTTGTGTCTTTGCTAGCGGGTTTGTGCTGGCCAGTGCAGCCTGGCTAGTTGGGAATGGAACCTGGTTATGTGCTGCAATGGCAAAACGGCATCTGGGGGCTGCGGCTGCCCTGCTTCAGCTTGGCACAGATTCCTTGTGGAGCCTGGCATGGTCTTCTCTCTTCCATGCACTCCTTCAGCTGCATTTCAAACCCAGCTAAACCTCAGATTGTCCTGGCACTCCACTGCAAGGAGCTCCTCACCTCACTCCCTGTGGGAAGGCCTCTTTGGCAGGTTTGGAACTCGCCTTTGTCAAACACCCTCTTCCTTGTGCTGAAGGAGTTTGCCACCTTGCTGTCCCTTGTCACCCTCTCCATAGCAGGACTTATCTTTTTCCCCTCCACCAAGGCCACAGGGTGACACATTCCTTGGCCATGGCGCAATGGGATACACACACCCCATGGGTCAGCAGTGACCCCAGAGCAGAGCGAGCCACGGCTGCAGGGACAAACCTGCATCAGGTTTACACCTGGCTGGACTGAAGAGAAGGAAAGCCATGGATGAGCCCATGTGTTTTGCCTCAGTGTTTAGGCATTGAGGGCTCAGTTTCTGGGGATGGCACCTGGCTTAGATGCTCAACATGGTGATGGGGAGCGGAGGGGCCAGCAAAGGGCACCAGGAGATGGTTCTGCTTGAGCAGGTCCAGAGGAGGCCATGAAGATGATCAGGGGGCTGGAGCACCTCCCCTGTGAGGACAGGCTGAGCGAGCTGGGGATGTTCAGCCCGGGGAAGAGAAGGCTTTGGGGAGACCTTAGAACAGCCCCAGAAAGATGGGGAGGGTCTCTATCAGTGAGTGTAGTGATAGGACGAAGTGTAATATTTTTTAAGAGGGTAGATTTAAATTAGACATAAGGAAGAAATTCTTCCCTGTGAGGGTGGTGAGGCCCTGGCACAGGTTGCCCAGAGAAGCTGTGGCTGCCCCCTCCCTGAAAGGGTTCAAGGCCAGGTTGGACGGGGCTTTGGGCAACCTGGGCTGGTGGAAGGTGTCTGCCCATGGCAGGGGGGAGGTTGGAACTAGATTAAGGTCCCTTCCAAGCCAAATAATTACATGATTCTATATGCTGGACTTAGCAGACTGGCCCACCAACCACCCAGGCCAGCTTCCCCATGGCCCCGAGAATATTTTACAGCTAGGGACAAAAGGTAAATGCTGAGCAGACCCACTTGGGGATGTTCTTGCACATTCCCTCTCCAGTACGACCCAGTGCTGCCTCCTCCCACTGCAGGGCTCCTCCGCAGGGCACCAGGGTGCGAGCAAACGCTCCAGCTGGG